AGAGGTATGGTTAGTTGACCAAGTTATTAATAACTTGGTTAACAAGCATGAAGTTATTGGGCATGCAAGTGTTACTACCTCATCTTATAACAAAGAACATTATTCTTATTATATAAATAAGATCATTTATAAATTTAAAGGCCATTGGAAGATTCGAAATATCTTATTAGAATATCAACATTCTTCTAAATATGCAACGGTTTCTTTACCACCAAGTACAAATATACCAGTTCTCAAAGTATTTCTAAATCTTTATTACGATGATTTTGGAACATATCGAAATGTATATCATTCACTTGGTGGTGTTTATATACAATTTGGCAACATGCCAATTTCTTTAAGACAGCAATTAAAAAATCATTTTGTGTTGGGATTTGTACCCTTTGGTGGATCATTCGATGAATTTATTAGACCATTTATTATGGAAATAAAGTCTTTAGAAAGTGGTCAAATAATGAATATTCAAGGCCAAGAGTACTGGGTTATTGCTAGTCTTGGGGTAGCCACAGCAGATCTTCCACAAGGAAATGATCTTGCTGGTTTTAAAAGACATGGTGCAAATAAGAGATGTCGAACTTGTCAAGTTTCTAAAGAAAATTTAACAAATAATGATTTGAATTTTAAAAACTTGGCAAGATATCAGCACATTACCAATAGCCAATTTCATGAAATTGCATTAGTCGAATCTATGAAAAAGTGTAAATTAGTTATAACTAAATATGAGCTGCGCAATAGTATTTCAATATTAAGTTAACTAATATGGGATCAGCATCTTCAAACACCTCAAGACATCTATTACGCAACTGCTGGAAAAATAATGAGGCTTTTAAAATTAACAGTTAATTTATTTTTACTAGAAGGTCAAAAAGAATTTATTGAAGCATGGAAAAATTTTAAATATCCAGCATACTGAGGACATTTGCCTAGTCTAATTAGTCATTATGAAAGTTTTATGATGTCTGACTACCTTCGTCTAGCAATGGTTATGCCATTTATTCTTAACTGCTTTTTAAAGACTTGGCATATTAAAAGTGCTGAATTAACAAATATTCAGCAAAGAATAAATACTAATTGTGCTGATTTGGTTTCTAAATCTTTAACTAAATGTTGGGTTTTAGTTGCAAAATCAGCACAATTAGTATTTAAAAAATCATATTCGACAGAAGATTATGAAAATCTTCAAAAATGTTTGGAGACGGAAAGTCAAATATTAACTCAAGTAATTATTATTTATATATTTATATTATGCATTATTATAATACATATATAATTTATAATAAGCCTGTTAATAAATTTGTTTCATTAGGTTTTTGCTGAATTTGAGAATATTCCAAATCTTTACATAAATAGCCATTTATTATTACATGCACATACATATGGCAACCTTGTAAATACTTCAGTTGGTACTAAAGAAATGGTTCACTGAATTTTTAAATCATAGTACTACAAACAAATTGCAAAAATATTGAACTAGATTTGTTGAAATGATATACTATATTATTTGCTATTCGGCATCTTATTGATGGTAGTGTTGATATTAGAATCTCAAAATCTAATAAAGGCTTTGTCAATATTTCACAAGATTTTAAAAAATTATTTAGTAATTGGTTTATTACCAAAGCTAATAATTTTATACAATTAGATTATGAAGATGTTGATATTGAAAGTTATTATAATTTGTTATTTTTTTTCTTGTCATTACTATTTTAATTATTATTTAATAACTATATACTATACAGAAACTTAAATTTCTTAATACGCAGTAACTGTATAGTAATTATGTAATTACGATTAAATTTAATAGTAACTATATGATTATTATGTCATTACTATACAGTTATTGTATATTAAGATATTTAAGTTTCTGTAAAGTATTATTTTAATATATACATATATACTAATATATATATTTTTAATTTAGTACATTCACAAATTGAACATATTTTTAATATTAAATTAAAAAAAAAGATTTGTTTAAAAGATCTTGAAGAAAAAGTACTATACCAAATAAATAATTCTGAATTTAAATCAGAATTATACTTTTCATACTGTGATTTTGGGCATATGGAAGCTCTTATTAATACAGGACTAAGCTTTTATGAAGGCATAACATATCTG